GATATGTCATTGCTCTGCTTGGAATGTTCCACAGTATGACATTAAACAAATCTTCCTTACATTTATTCAATTACAGGTAGTTTTATTGCTCAGAAATACCAAAAAACTTCAGATTCCACCTGTAACTTGGTCTGGTTTGGTCTTCATGATGATAGAAAGCTTTAATACCACACTGTGAAACATTCAGGCAAAGCAATAACGGATCCTCCACCAGAAAAGGTACACAGTGCACCTTTAACTTACTTAAAGCTTGAACAATTTTTACACTTTACACCCAGAGTCAAACCCACAAACACACTTCTCCAGGCAGTTAGGTGCTATTGTTCCTTTTATTGCTTCCTGTACTCTGCACAAATACTGTTAAAACACACCCACTTAAACTCCATTCAAGAGCCATCTCCATTAGTATCAACTGCTATTAGCTTCCGTCGCAGTTAAGGCCCAATTACAGTCATTATGGAAGCTTTAATTGTGGTCTACTGCACACACAGCCTGTCACGTGTAGGTATTAAAACTCAAGCAATCTTTTACAGTACAGCTTTTTATATTCTAATTGGTGCTAATCAGTCAGTTGTTTCTAGCTTTAAAATTAAGCTTAAAAAAATCACTTTTCTGGTGGGTGGTGATCTACTACAAGTACAGAGAAGTAATGTAGTAGTGTAGAGGTGTCAAACTCAAATTCACAGAGGGCCAAAATTAAAAACTGGGACTAAGTCGTGGGGCAAACTAAATAGTTATTGAAAAATTTCAACATTATCTGCAAGTTTTCTCTTCTTTCGAGATACGTAATGTTAAAACTTTTCTCATTAAAATAAATGTTTAATAATAATTTAACTTAAGCATTGCATCTAGAACAAGCATAATATAAAATAATAACAACATTTTAAATAAATAATGTCTCTATAGCCTATTTGTACCCGGCGGGCCAGCTCTTATACATGTTTGATATGATCTCATGGGCCAAATATAATTATATCGCAGGCCAAATTTGGTCCCCGGGCCTGAGTTTGACATGTCTGTAGTAGTGACTGTTGCTATTGCTTTGTGAAAGTTCCATATTACAGCATTCAACGTATTTATCTTGGATTTATTCATTTACAGAAGTTTTCATTTCTCAAAACTACCACAAAAACATGCATTCTTACTGTAAGCGGGTCCCCCTCTCCACAGATCTGACCTGTAACTTGGCCTGGTGATGTGGCCTGCTTGTCTCTTAGATTTAGAATTAGACAAACTTTATTGATCCACCATCACAGGTTTGTCCAAAATAAGTGTAAAAAAAAATGAGTTCAGTCGGAAAAACGTCACTATGCGTTCTCTTGGGCCAGAGACGCGTCGGTCGGGGAATAACGGGGCAACTACAGGCGCTCCGTCACATCCACAAGGGAAATTATTTGGACACAGTAGCTCACACATCACAATATGATATAATAACAAACAGCAGAAAATATGAATGGTAAAATAAATTCTAAATAAGTAGCAAACAAAGACAGTAAGAGACAGGTGTGAAATGGAAATAGTCTTCAAGGGGATAGTTGAATTAAATGCTATAGTGTAGAAAATTATAGGAAAAAACAGTAACATCTCCACTGAGTCACGCAGATGGCAGACACTTTATCATAAAAGTTACTTAGTGCACCTTTTAAAAAAAACACAGAAACCTGTCATATTAACTTTAAGCATAACACATTTCTCCGGTTTTAGCGCTTCTTTTAGCCGTACGCTCTAATCTGCAGATCTTGTTCTAACCTTATCTGCAAATGTCCCACCTTCCCATCTGTGTGTTTTCGAAGACGCACGACTGACACTGAATCCTGATTACATTTAAAGACACACATATATATATATATACAGAGGGACGGAGGAGCATTTTCTCCAACTGGCTCCTACAGCTCTGCTCAAACAGCGAGAGATACAGGACTATATTCATACTATAATACTCCCTACAACTGTACAACATGTCACCCTTATGTAGCAGATAATACTCTCTACATCTGTACAACAACTCACCGTTATGTCACAGATAATACTTCCTAAAACTGCACAACTCTCCCTTATGTCACAGATAATACTCCCTATAACTGTACAATAACTCAACCTTACATAACGGTTAATACTCCCTACAACTTTGCAAAACCTCACCCTTATGTAATGGATAATACTCCCTACAACTGTGCAGAATCTCACCCTTATGTAACGGATAATACTCCCTACAACTGTGCAGAATCTCACCCTTATGTAACAAATAATACTCCCTACAACTGTGCAGAATCTCACTCTTATGTAACGGATAATACTCCCTACAACTGTACAACAACTCACCCTTATGTAACAAATAATACTCCCTACAACTGTGCAGAATCTCACCCTTATGTAACAGATATACTCCCTACAACTGTGCAGAATCTCACCCTTATGTAACAGATAATACTCCCTACAACTGTGCAGAATCTCACCCTTATATAAAAGATAATACTCCCTACAACTGTACAACTCACCCTTATATAAAAGATAATACTCCCCACAACTGTACAACAACTCACCCTTATGTAACAGATAATACTCCCTACAACTGTACAACAACTCACCCTTATGTAACAGATAATACTCCCTACAACTGTACAACAACTCACCTTTATGTAACAGATAATACTCCCTACAACTGTACAACAACTCACCCTTATGTAACAGATAATACTCCCTACAACTGTACAACAACTCACTCTTATGTAACAGACAATACTCCCTACAACTGTACAACTCACCCTTATATAAAAGATAATACTCCCCACAACTGTACAACAACTCACCTTTATGTAACAGATAATACTCCCTACAACTGTACAACAACTCACCCTTATGTAACAGATAATACTCCCTACAACTGTACAACAACTCACCTTTATGTAACAGATAATACTCCCTACAACTGTACAACAACTCACCCTTATGTAACAGATAATACTCCCTACTACTGTACAACAACTCACCCTTATGGCACAGATAATACTCCCTACAATTGTACAACAACTCACCCTTATGTAACGGATAATACTCCCTACAACTGTGCAGAATCTCACCCTTATGTAACAGATAATACTCCCTACAGCTGTACTGCAACTCACCCTTATGCAGCAGATAATACTCCCTACAACTGTACCACTCACCCTTATGTAGTATATAATACTCCCTACAACTGTACATAACTGAGATATATTTATAACTTAATTTATATATTTTATCTTAACTTGTACATTTACATTTATATAATTGTACCGTTTTTGACATCAGTCTCTTGATATTTCTGCTACTTATTTAGAATTTATTACACCATTTCTCTTTGTTATTATTATGCTGTGAGCTACTGTGTCCAAATAATTTCCCTTGTGGATCAATAAGGATTGTCTTTTTTTTCTCAAAATGTATTTATTGGCTTATACAGAAATTGAATTATAGACTTTACATCACAACTAGTAAAACAAATTTAAAAGGTGTTCTGCATAATCTCCTTTTATATCTAAATGGCACGCAGACACAAAAAGAAAAAAATAACACACCAACACTGTCCATCTAGATGATACAAAAATAATAATTAAAAATAGTTACACATCCTGGCAGTCCTTAAACATTACGTGCCGAGATAAGATAAAAGATAATACTGAACTGAAAGCCCATGAAACAAAATAATGTAGTAGTATGTTATTGCTTTGTCTGGAATGTTTCACATTATGGCATTAAACTGTTTTACCTTCATGGAGACGGAACCAGACCAAGTTGCAGGTCAGATCTGTGGAGAGGCAAACCTGCTCACAGTCAGAATCATGTGTTTTTTAAGGTTTTTTGAGCTATAAATCCATCAGTAATTTAAAAAATGTAAGGTAAAATTTCAGACAGAGCAATGACATATCCATAGAAACAAACAGGTGACGGAAAAGTTACATAATGCACCTTTAAGCAAAAAAAAAAACTAGATAGAAGTGAGGAAAGAAAGGACCTCCTGAAAAGTGTTAATCAGGAATAGAGAAAAAGCTCATTTGTTGTACTATTTGGAACAATGCACCATCAGAAGAGCTACAAAGTGTCATTCTGATTTTCTAAAGTTTAAGAAAATATAAACGTCATAAAGTTTGTCTAAGTATATACCATTTTCTCAACGGCCGGAAGTGCCGCGAATGTAGGGTAAACGTCAGTTATGTTAATGCTTTTCTATGGCAAAATATCTGTGGAAATATCTCGCGTATTTTCCACCTGCTTCATAAATCTGCCCCATCACCAAATCTTCATCCAACAAGGTCGACAAAGGACATATTCTGTCCATGAAGAATTTATCCACAACTATCAAGGTAAGAAAGAGGAAAACTTAAAGGCGAACAACGACTATCATTAGTGAAATACTCTTGAGGAAAACTAACATTATGTTCAGAATAAAACATAAGTAACTTGTTAACTCAAACTGATTCTAGGATCAAAATTAAAAATCAATTTCATGATGTAGATATTGGCATAGACAGAGAGATTTGTACAGTTTAAACGCTAGACATATAATCTGTGAATATTTGTAGCATTCGAACTGCACAAATCTGTCTTTCTATGCCAATATCAACATCATGAAATCGATTTTTAATTAAATTTCTAGAATCAGTCTGAGTTAACAAGTTACTTACGTTTCATTCATGACCATAACTTTAGTTTTGCTCAGGAGTAGTTCACTAATGCGTCGTCGTTGTTCGCCTTTACATTTTCGTCTTTCTTACCTTGATAGTTGTGGATAAATTCTTCATGGACCGATTGTTGGATGAAGATTTGGTGATGGGGCAGATTTATGAAGCTGGTGGAAAGTACGAGAGACATTTCCACAGATATTTCGCCATAAAAAAGCATTAAGAAAAAATCCCGCAAACCTAGAGCGGGGCACTTCCGGACGTTCTGAAGAAGGTCTGTAAATCTAAGTCTAAGGCATTAACCGTGTGCTGTGTTTTTTTTTTTTTTTGTTCCCATAGGCTCGTGCCAGATCGGGTGGGCCTACTACTGCACGGGAGCGGGAGCGGCCGTGGCCATGCTCTTGTGCACATGGCTCTCCTGTTTCGCCGGAAAGAAGCAGAAGCAGTATCCGTACTAACGAGACGCCGATGGAACTCAGGATCTACACAATCTATATGTTACAAAAGGGAGAGGACTCACAGCACAGCATCGGGCACCGCGGGCTAGGATGGTGAGCCCGGTTCAGGGACAACAATGCACAAAACAGACACACAAAGGCTCGGTCGGCTTCTCCAGGACTCTTCGTAATGTATGGACCAATTGTATTTGTAAAATTGTTACATTTCTTCAACAAAGCGAGTGGTGGTTTTGCTGGTTTTGCGTCATTTATAGAGATCGACCGATATTTGTGTTTTTATTTTATCTTTTTCTTGGCTGATACTGATACGATTGTTTAGAATCTAGAGCGACCGATGCCTGATAAGCTCTGCCGATATTTTTAAGACAATGTATAGGGTCGAGTTTGAGTATTTTTCCCAAATTATGTAACTTAAATTTACTACAAACTCACCCACAGCCCTTTTTTTTATTATAAGAGAGTAGTGTAGTCATATTTTGTGTAGTTACCCTTTCGCATTAAAGTGTTAAAATAAAGCTTTGTGTGTATTTTTTAGGCCGCAGACTCAAAGGTGCACTGTGTAACTTTTCTAGTGGAGCGTCCGCTTACATTTTTGTCTCCAGTGACGATGTTGGAATGTTTCAGTATGGTATTAAACTTAACTATCTCCATGGAAATGATCGGAAATGCCACCAGACAAGACCAGAAGATACGGGTCAGATTTTTGCAGAGGACGGCCCCCAGACTGTAGGTGTGCGAGAATAAAAACTAGCCAAACTTTTTTCCTCCATGAGCTACCTTTACAAAACAAAAATTCCAGAGAGCTACTCATTTTATGTAATTATAAGAACCATGGCCTTAGATCAGAACAGTTAGAGGCCTATAAAACATAGACTATTATCCATTTATTAGTGCAGAAAGGAAAGTTAGGCATGAACATGATACATTTACAGTTTTAATTTTCATTTTATTCATAAAATCTTTGTTATTCAGTACAAAACTTATAATTCAGAAATTCTTTGGCGAGCTACTTGGAAGGAGGTACAGATTGGGGATCCTTGCACTAGATGGTTCTCAAAAACCCCGGAAGTGCGAATTTGGGCACCAGACAATCGGCGAAGAGCCATACTTTCTGTGTTGGCAACAATTCCCGAGATCGAGGATTTAAAGCCGGAACTATGAGAATGTTTGTTGAATTTTATCAAGGGTAAAGACTTTATTGCCCTTCTTCCTACGGGATTTGGGAAAAGCTTAATATACCAGTTACAGTTTCATACGTCACGACCAAATAGCAGTGACTGGTTAAATAAAAAAAGTACCTGCCTAAAGTTGAGCGAACAAATCCTAATGCTGCGAGGTCAGACGGTTTCCACGAAGTGAAACCGGCTGATGACCCATAAATGAATGACTGGTAGATGGATAAGTTTAATGCCACACTGAAACATTTCTGACAAAGTAATAACATCTCGAGACAAGAAAAAACGTGGAAAGTTACACAATGCACTTTTAAGGCAGATAGACAATATGCTAAAAAGTCCAAATATCGGCCAATCCATATATATATCGAGCAACTGATATCGGTCTATCTCTAGTCATTGATATGTTTGGTCTGGTTCACACTGGAGCGGGCAGAACTGGGCTGGGCTATTTTTAGTTATACCAAATAAACATGTACAGCTGGGGTCTATCTGTGTTGAAAAAGATGGAGCTTTACACTGCCATCTGGTGATTAAGCGAGAGCGACATGAAAAAACGGAGTCTGAATGTAAAAATGTAACAGAAATGTATTCTCAAAATGTTTCTCTCTTGACATCTTTGCAGACAAAACACTACTTGGTGTTGCTTGAGAAGTTACTTTGTCTTAGCTTTAACTCTTTCAGTAGTTAGGCTCGGGACAATTGAATGGGCAAAATTGGAAACCCATAACGTCTGGAGTTATTTACGTAGTATGACGTAACAAATCTGACTCAATGGGATCTTCTAAAACTTTCTAACTCTTTGTTTTTTAGAGAAGAGTTTTTATTTTTTCAGAGAACCAACCACAATAGAAACCAAGACTCATAGATACACAGTTACACTTGAGTTACTTTTTGCTGAAATTTAACTTTTCTGAGTAGTTTTCAGATATAATACTTTAACTCCTACTTAAAAGTACACTGTTAACTCCTACTTAAAAGTACACTGTGTACCTTTTCTGGTACAGGGTCCATCACCTGCTTCTCTCCATGAAAATATTCCCTGGAATGTTCCATAGTATGGCATTATACTTTTATTTTTTATTTATACACATTTATCTCTACAGAAACAAGCCAAGTTTTATGTCAGATCTATGGAGAGGCGAGCCCACTCACAGTAAGAATGCAAGTTTTTAGGTCAATAAAAACCCATGTTATTGAGTAAATGCAAGATGGTTATGTTTAATGCCATACTGGGACATTCCAGACAAAACAATAATATCTCCATGGAGACAAGTAGGTGATGGTCCTTCCACTAGAAAAGTTACACAGTGCACCTTTAAGTACTATATTAGATAATAGTAGTTTTGGTTTGGTTAAGTCTGTGTGTTGTTTTTTTAAGCGTGTCCTGAATTGTGTTATGAAACCTGATTATTTTAACATGATATAATATTATATTTGAGTGTTTTTCAAATGTTACTGCTCCAGATTTAGAGTTTGTTTGGCAAATTCAGATCCAAAAGCGAGTTGTGGATGATGAATCAAGTACAATGTAATAATAGCTAAGGCTGTTAATCACAGGGTCCCTCACGATTCGATTCGATACTCGAAACACGGCTCACGATACGATATTATGACGATATGGCGATACATTTTTTGCACATGATTTATTAATGTTTTTAAGAACCAAATACACTTTAACATTTGTATTCCTGCACAAACTTGATATGAAATACTCCAATTTTGATCATTAAAACCTTGAATATGTCAAGTTCAAGTTTCAACAAGTTTCCTTCCACTAAATATGGGACAAGATATGAGATGGGTCCACGAAAACGAGACAAGACGAGATTTTAATATAACTTCTAACATTTTGTGATTCAGTTTCCAGTTTTAATCTCACAATTTTTTATTTACTAAAATTCATATTTTGGTTTCCATTCTAGTTCTGCTTTTGGAACTGTAAGAGATGTAACTCACCAACTCACAACCCTTTGTCTTATCCAAACGTAAACATTTGGAAAAAATCTCACAACATAATTTTTCTCTTGTGTGCACGATCTTGTGGCAATCTTGTCCCATCCCGACAAAAAGATACCAAAAAATACTCTTGGGGATATATTGATGCAGCAGCCCATGATAACGATACTGTATCACCAAATTTAGCATCACGATATATCGATATTTTGATATTTTTTGCATAATCCTAATAATATCAAAATCAGAATCCTATAATACACATCGGGTTTGTTATTGGCTATAGAAAAATAATAACAATAGATAATAAATACAATAGTACCCTCCATGACAAACTTTTGAACTTCTATTCTGAATAAACACAACATAAATGAGTTTAATGCCACACTGAAACTTTCCAGGCAACGCAATAACATCTCCATGGAAACAAATTTGTAGTGGACCCCCTATACCAGAAAAGCTACACAATTATGATGTCACATTTGCGCTGAAAGGTGCACTGTGTAATTTTTCTCTGGCTGGGGGTCCATCACTTGCTTGTTTCTATGGATATATCATTGCTCTGCCTGGAATGTTCCACAGTATGGCATTAAACACCTCTATGTCCCTTACTTTTACTCAATTACAGTTGGTATTATAACTCAAAAATACCCAGCTTGGTATGGTTTGGTCTCCATTAATTGACAAACTTTGAGAGAAAAGTCAAAATACATGTGAATATATCAGATTAATCTTTAAAGTTGGACCTAGACTAAAAACAATCTCCATCGCCATAGCAACAGCATCCTAGAGACCCTCTATACCCATTTTGCCCACAGGTTTTGGTGATGTCTTGTGTACCAAACATGTCCTCCCTGTGCCTCTTCGCTCCAGTGTGACCGGGTCTTTGTCACGTGTGTCTGTGAACATATAATATTACTCTACATCGTCTGTGTGAAGTGCTCTATCTGTCCCATTCTTGCCTTAAACACAAACTGAAATAATGCAATAATTTCTGAAGCAATTCCACACTGGCCGCTTGCATTTAACATTTAGCATCCTCCTCCAAAAATGTACCCTCCTTTGCATACTTTATTTAACGCATTGGTAAGCTATACTGTACGTCGTGTATGATAATGTATTTTATCATTATAGCTATGTTTTGTATTCTCTCTTTTATGTATTTCTTTGTCATGGTTAGGTTTTGTAAATAAATGTTTAATGGACTTCTTCTCTGCTGTCTGTTTTTTGTCTATATCAAGTTGGTTTTGAGTTAACTTTCTGGTGCTGCTTGTTCCTGCTTGTCTTCATGGAAATGTTATTACTTTGTCTAGAACAGGGGTGGACAAACTACGGCCCGGGTGCCATTTGTGGACCTTTAAACTTTTTAATCAGGCCCGCCGATCTTGAATAAAAATAATAAAAACTAATAATTTTCAGTGTTGTAAAAGTAATTTCAGTGTTGTAAAAGTAATTTCAATAAATAGTAAATACCACAGGACTTAAAAGTAATTTCAATAAATAGTAAATACCACAGGACTTGAAAGACATATTTTGTTGTAATGCTTTGTAATGATTTTCAATTATGAGATATTTTAATGTTTTTTTGTCTCTCTTAAGAGGTGGAGTACCAAAAAACTATATCCATCTGCTCTGGTCCAGCCCTTATGTCAAATTTTAAAACCCTTTGTGGCCCATGAGTCAAAAAGTTTGCCCACCCCTGGTCTAGAATGTCCCACAATATGGCATTAAACTAATCTATTTCCATGAAGACAAGCCGGCAATGCCTCCAGGCCAAGTTACAGGTCAGATCTGTGGAGAGGCGAGCTTACTCAATGTAGGAAAGCATGTTTTTCGTAGTATTTTTGAGCACTAAAACATCCGTAACTGAATAAATGCAACATAAATGAGTTTAATGCCACACTGAAACCTGTTAGGCGAAGCGATAGTATCTCCATGGAAACAACTTTGTAGCGGACCCCCTCCCAGAAATGTTACACAGTGCACCTTTAACAATTATGATGCCACATTTGTCCTGAAAGGTGCACTTTGTAACTTTTCTGGTAGGGGTCAGTCACCTGCTTGTTTCTATGGACATGTCATTGCTCTGCCTGGAATGTTCCACAGTATGACATTAAACAGCTCTACCTTCAATTACAGGCGGTTTTACAGCTCAAAAATACCTAATTTGGTCTGGTTTTAATGCTATACTGTGAAACATTCCAGACAAAGCAATAACACCTCGATGGAGAAAAGCATTTGACAAACCCTCCAGCAGAAAAGTTACACAATGAACCATTTTCATGTGTTTTCAAAGTACTACAATAGGGGTGGGTAAGAATAAAAATCCTAAATTTACTCAGTTAGAGATGTTATTTCTGTTTTAAAAAGACAATTTTACCCTCTTTTGGAAGATTTCAGATGGTTTTCTCAGTGAAACTATACTCAACATTTTAGTATCTTCTTAACATAGAAGCAATTACATTTCATGAGAGACACTTCTGTAGTTCCAGTCCACCACTAAAAGCCTCATTCTGCCAGAACCTCAAACCAGTTTTGTTTCAGAGCAGCGCGAGCCAAATTCTCACAAGTTACAGAGAAACAA